ATGCCTTGTATAGCCCACTAGAGGGGCAGAGAGCAGTGAGTGGAGGGTACAAAATCTCCAGTCCCTGCTCCTGCAAGCTCTCAGCTGCTCTAAAGGGGGCCAGGCAGCTCTGACCATCAAAACACACCTTCACCCAGCCATAGTTTTGCACCTGCATCTTGCTGTCTCCGCTGATGGTTGGAAATTAAGGTAGGACAACCTGGGGACATTTTTTTTTGGTGGCAGAGGGATGGAAATTCAACTGGAAAGGAATCAGGGTGTCTGGAATGGTGAGCATCATATGCTTTGCTCAGCGAGATGCACTCTAGTCCTTTTGGGGCTTTTATTTGAAATGATCCTTGTGATGACTTCTTTGACTCCCCAGCCCAACCCTGGGTGCTGGGAACCATTTTGCAGAAAGGTGGTGTGTCCATGCATGTAGACTGTGGTAGAGTTGAGGCCAAACAGCTGGTATTGTATTTCATGTTATAATATTTGTGCAAAAGATTGGGTAGTATTTTGAGGTATACTTGGAGCTCTTGGTGTCTGTATATTTTGTGCACTGGGGGAATTGTAAACTACTGTGTACTTTAAAATTCTTGCTGTTGTCATTGCACAGCTGGCAAGATTTTGTCTGTAAGAGGCTTTTACTGCAAGCCAGGCACTAGTACAGGAACACCTTCTCCAGAAAGCCCCATCCTTTCTCCTGCTTCATTGATATTTCCTCAGTTTTAGTTTTGCAGCATCTGCTTCTAAGCCAAACCCACCCTGACCAATTCACTTGTAAGTAGAGATCCCTCACAGGAGGTTCATTGGAGGATAAAACTACTCAAGTTTCTCCAGAGGTGTGGTGAGATGTAGATCTGCAAAAGATTAATCCTAATAGCAGTTCTCAGAATTTTAACATCTCTCAAATACAGATCCTGTCCATTGAGGGCCAAGTGCAATGAAGAGAACTGTTCCTGAGCTGGATTGGTACAAGTAGCCCATGGCTTCCCTTTGAATGCATGTCGATGTGTTTGGGAAGTAACACAGGGGCAGAGGTTCTATTTGCAGTTTATTCAGGATCTTCAGTTCTAGGGTTTCAGTCCTCCAAGGTGATGGGGCTAAGATGTTGCCCATGACTTTTTCCATCTATACCCGTTCCTGCCTGTGGCCATGTGGCCTATGTTCTAGTGTCCCAAGGATACTAGGAATGTGCTTCAGGGCTCTGAAATTCCAAGGGTCCAGCCAGCAGTTTCTGTCTGCTTCTGCTGTGGCACCAGGGAGACTTAGTAAGATAAGATGGCAAGCTGTTTCAAGCCTGAGCCTAGAGCAGTGGCCACAGGCAGTTCTGAGAATAGAAACTACAAAGGTACTAAGATGCTCTTGAAGAAAGAGACTTCAAAGAGAAGCCCTGAGGGAATGCACAAATATTCTGTTTGAGTTCTTTAAAGGAAACCAAATCACTCGGTTAGGGTCCTGGCTCGAGGTACTCCAGAAAGTAGAGGCCATTCCCTCACATTTGGTAGATGGGGAGACTTGAGGCCCACAAAAGAAAAGCGATTATTAGTACCCCCAGGTAGACAGTAAGGGGAAAAGGACAGACATAGAAGCCAGAGAGACCTGGGTTCAGAGCTCTGCTACCATGTAGCTGTGTAGCTGGGGCAGTTTATTTCATATTCTCTAAGCCTCAGTTTGCTCATCTCTAAAATGGGGATAATAAGTACTTTGAGGGTTGAAAAGATTGGAGAAAATATATGATATATTTCTGTCACAAAGTAGGTATTCTATAAACTGTAGCTTTAGAAAAAGTACTGCCTCCACATTCATCACTTTATAATTCATAACACCTTTGCTTTATTTTATTTTTGCTATTTTTGAAATATATTTGACATATAACATTGTGTGGCTTTATGGTGTAAAACATGTTAATTTGAAAAATTTATATATTGTTATATGATGGCCATTGCAGCCATAATCAATACCTTTCATGTTATATAATTATCCTTTCTAGCAGTTGAAATAATTAAGTTCTAGTTCACAGTTTTGATGATGATAATACAGCACTGTTGTCTATATTCACTGTATTGTACACTAGATCTCTAGGGCTTATTTACACCTTGTTGCAGGTTTGTACCTTTAAACAACATCTCCCCTGTCCTCTGGTAACCACCATCTTATTTTCTGCTTTTACAAGTTTGTATTTTTAAAATTCCACATTTATGTGATAACATACAGTACTTGTCTTTCTCTGACATATCTCATAATGTGCTCAAGGATAAAACTTTTGCTTTATTTCTATAACTTTGAATATCTGAATATATCATGTACATTTTCATTGAGGAATAATTTACGTACAGCAAAATGCACAAATCTTAAGGGCCCAATTTGATGACTTTTGACAAATGTATACATACAATATAACCTTTACCCTCCTCAAGATGTGGGACATTCCCAACAGCCTCTCCTTCTGCCTCTTCCCAATCTCTACCCCCTAGGCAACCACTTTTCTGACCTCTATCACTAGATATTATTTGTGCCCGTTCTATATAAGTGGAATTTCTTTCTGACTTTTTTCACTCACCATGGTTTTGTGATTATTCCATGCAGTTGTGTGGATTGGTACTTTGTTCCTTTTTATTGTTGAATAACATTTCCTTGTATGAAAATGTCACAGCTAGTTTACTTATTTTCCTACTAATGGATATTTGGTTTTTTTGTTTTTCACTTTGGGGCTATTATAAATAAAGACACTATGAACATTCATGTACAAGTCTTTGTGCGGGTATATGTTTGCGTTTCTCTTGGCCATATGTACCTAGAGGTGGGATTGCTGGGTCATGTGGTATGCCTATGTTTAACTTTATAAGAAAACTGCCAGTTTTTCAAAGTGGTTGTTCACATGTTTTTTGAAATAAGGATACAATGAATTCATTTCTCAGGTAGTGCTCAATCAAAAGCTTCTGTAGAAAATATAGTCCAATTATGACTGGGGCTAGAATGATTCTGAAAGGAAAGCTCTTTAAGTGTCCCTACTGACTGTAGGATTCCTTCCTAAAATCCCCATCATAATCTGTTGACACTTCTAGCAGAGCCATAAAATAATAGGCTGCAGAATTCATATACTCCAGTCTCTTCATCTTACCCAAAAAGAATTTGAAGCCCAGAGAGGTCATGTGGTTTCCCAAAAGTCAACCCCAGATCCTCTGACTTCTGTAATTGACAAGATTCCCTTGCACTGTGCTGTCTGTGCATGAAATGGCATCCAGCCATTCAGCCCTTGTTTACTGAATACCTACCTACATTGTGCTAGGTGCTAGGAATAAAGAAATGAGTAAGAAGTGGACCCATCTTGAAAGATCTCACAGACCGGGCTCTTCAACTCTCCTCATTTTCATTATATTTACAAGAATGAATAGATTCTTCATGTGTCTTTAGCTTGAGCATATAGGTAGCTAAAAGTAAAGAAGCAATAAGATGTGCTACTCTTCCAGTCAAAATAGTCACAGCATATCTTGAGTGCCTGCTGCGTGCACTCAAGACGCTCACAGGTACAATGGAGGCCAGGATTAATGCAATTCAGCAAATGGCTATTGAACATCTATCTATTCTATTGCAGTCCCTGTTCTAGGTCCAGAGGGTATGGTCATGTGTAGAGTTGATGTATCAAGCACTTTTAAAATTTTTATTTACTTATTTATAGAGAGAGGGGAAGGGAGAGAGAAAGACAGGGAGAGAAATATCAATGTGTGGTTGCCTCTTGTGTGTCCCCTACTTGGGATCTGGCCCGAAACCAAGGCATGTGTCTTGAGTAGTAATTGAACCTGTGACCCCTTGGTTCACAGGCCAGCACTCAATCCACTGAGCCACACCAGCCAGGGATTTCAGGCACTTTCGTTTTTTTACCAATGTTGCCACAATATACTAGTGTTAAAAAAGTGTGCGAGTGTGTGTGTGTGTGTGTGTGTGTGTGTGTGTGTGTGTGTGCTGAGATCTGCATTTGGTTCAGAATACAACTCTCTTGAGGCCTCAGACTGGTATGGTTTGTAATTGCTAGTTTCTAAGATGAGGTGGAGGGTAGGTGCAGGCCACCATTATACATAGATTCCATCATCAGGGGAGTGGGAGAAATTGATGTGTTTTATTCTCTTGCATGGAAGTGGAAAAGATGGAAAGCAATGCTTACTTTTACAACTGAAACTGTCAATATCCACTGGATTCCTTAGTCAGCTCTCCAGGGGAGTTCACCCTTTTGTCTAGGGAGATCTACATGTAGTTCTGGGAGGAGGAAAGCACTTCCCCAGAAGGCAAGTTACTTTGTGATTTGGCCTCATTGTTACTTTTTAAAAGATTTTATTTATTTTTAGAGAGAGGGGAAAGGAAGGAGAAAGAGAAGGAGAGAAATATCAATGTGTGGTTGCCTCTCACATGCCCCCTACTGGGGACCTGGCCCACAACCCAGACATGTGCCCTGGCCAGGAATCAAACCAGCAACCCTTTGGTTCGCAGGCTGTGCTCAATCCACTGAGCTACACCAGCCAGGGCTCACTGTCATTTTTTTAAAAGATTTTAATTATTTATTTTTAGAGGGAGGGGAATGGAAGGAGAAAGAGGGAGAGAAACATTAGTGTTGTGCGATAGAAACATCTGATCAGTTGTGTCCTATACACCCCCAACTGAGAACCTGGCTCATTACCCAGGCATGTGCCCTGACCAGGAATTGAACCTGTGACCCTCCACTGAGTCACACTAGTTGGGGTCCTGTTGTTATTTTTTCCTGATTCTCTTCTAGTCATGTTGCCAGAAAATTCTTCTCATTTGTGAGAAAGGGCCCCTTTAGTGCTTCATAGAGCTCTGTCTTGTTTCCTGAACACTGATCAGACCACTCTCCTCAGCTCATTCTCAGATCAGTACAACATGGTTATTGAGCTAACTGCTTGCCCTCAAGTATGGTGTTCATCCAAACTATAGCCAAGCCACTTGGAAAAATAGTGCCAGTAATATTTCACATTTGATCTGCAGCTATCACCTGGGTCACAATGGAAGAAATGAAGAGGAGTGCTGCCCAGATGGAGAGGCCTGTAAAAACTGAGTGGAGTCCCCAGTGTGTCATTTTCACCTATTTTCAAGGGGACATCAGCAGTGTAGTGGATGAACACTTCTCCAGAGCTCTGAGCAGTATCAAGAAACCCCAGGAATTGAGCCCCTTGATCCAGAGTGAAGATGTGGTTCTAAATAATGGTAAGCATATTGGGAGGGTAGGAGGCTGAATTTCCCTATCAAGGCTATCAATGAAAGACAGTTCTCTGATTTTTCTTAATGCACACAAACATATATGTATTTGCTGAAGGTAAGTCACATTGTCTAGATCAGGGGTGTCAAACTCATTTTCACCGGGGGCCACACCAGCCTCGTGGTTGCCTTCAAAGGGCCAAAATAATTTTAGGACTGTATAAATGTAACTACTCCTTAACTGTTAAGGAGTTGAAATTACGTTCAGCCCTTTGAAGGCAACTGCAAGGCTGATGTGGCCCCCTGGTGAAAATGAGTTTGACATCCCTGGTCTAGAGAGAAGCTGCCACCCACTTCTTAGAAGTTTAATGTGAAAATGGACACTGTTCAATCAAATTAGTTTACCCATTTCATTGTTTCCTCAATTGTGTAAAATGCTGGGTTCACTACTCAATCCACAATAAGAGCACCATAACTATCACCATTATCACCACTATCAGTATTATTATTATTATAATTGTGATTACTATTACTACTATTGCTGGCCTCACAGGGGCAGGAACACCAAAGGATTCATTATATAAAAAGCATGACCTATGTCGGTACATCCAGCCTCCTCTCCACTAATAGTGGATAATCTGGTGGTCAGGGATAGGACCAGAGACAGGCAGGTAGAACCTCACCACATCCCTCTTCCCACCCCTAACAGTATCAGGAATGTCTATTGCATTCATTATTTGGTAACTTTTTAAAATATATATTCTTATATCTCAAAACAATTATTTCAAGAGCTATGTCAAAATGTTCTCATTAAAATATCTAGGTTTAGAGAAAGCCACAGAAATTAAGCTGGTCAGGGCTGCTGTATGTCTTTAATGGAGCCTAAACACTTTGCCTTTATAGGCCCATTCCTCATAAAGATATGAAAAAGGACATTTTGTGACTGCATTGGCATAAAAACTAACATAATCCAGGCTGCATTCATCTTATACATTATCATTATTATATTCATTTTCTTTCAATTTTAAAAACAGTTAAAACATTTTCATGGTTTCCTAAGAGTATTTATGGGCCCTAGGCACTGTGCCTGCTGTGCCTAATGGAGAAGTCATCCTGCCAGCTGGACATGAATTGATGAGGATCTTCATAACCTTTTGAAGTGTACAAATAGACCAGGGTCTTATTGATTTTTAAGAGCTCTTTATTGAAGTTGCTGAGCACACATGTTGAATGCCTTGCTCCCATTGGAGGATGTATATGGCTCCAAGTGGAACACTTCATGAAAAGTGGCCAACTATGGCCTCTGCCTGCAGGGAAGGAGCTCACCTCTTTTTCAGATGCCATCACTCTGGCTTTACTCTTTGACTTTGGACAAGAAGTTGGTATATATATCTGACGTACTCACCTTTGCAAAATTTACTTCTCTCCAAGAGATTCCTTTTCCAGTCAGGTGATATAATTTTCTTAGAGAATCTTGTGAGTTAAGTAAACATGTGGGAGAGGGTGTGGTAGTAGCACACACTAAAGGAAATGCTGTAGAAGATCTTGTTGTTAAAATGGCAACATAGAGGTAGGTGGAGAGGTGGGGAGGTGATGTTCAAGAGTGTTCTGAGTACTTCACATCAGGAGAGGGAATGATTGATCTTGAGACATTTGGGGAATTTATGTATGGAAAGTGGGATTCAGAGGATCTAGCTGGCTCTTGAGAAGGGACAAAAACCCCAGGCTCTTTAAGCACAGATAAGTCTGCTAAGTTTGGTTGTTTGGGTAAAAGATTGGCTCAAAAATTATTCATTCATAAAAATTAAAAACTCCTTCTTTTAAAGTAAGGAAACTTAAAGTAAGTAAACTTCCTTACTTTAAAAGAACATTCTAAGCATGAAAATAATGTATTAATTTTTGAAGATTTTAGAAAACATGGGTAAACAATCAGGACACAAAACCACATGGGCTATGCACACATACTAAATTTTACAACATAACATTATTTTGTGCAAAATGGGCTGTAACTTTAAAAAATTTTTTATTTATTTATCTTTAGAAAGGAAGGGAAGGAGAGAAGGAGAGAAATATCAATGTATGGTTGCTTCTGGTGCATCCCCTGCTGGGAACTGGCCTGCAACCCAGGCATGTGCCCTGACAGGGAATCGAACCACGATCTTTTGGTTCGCAGGCCTGTGCTCAATCCACTGATCTACACCAGCCAGGGCCTGGGCTGTAACTTTTTAATAATTGACTATAGTTGTATATATCTCTCCATGCCATTACATATTCTACTACAACATCATTTTAATAGCTCAAGAGTATCTTTCTGTAAGATATACTAAATCTATTAAAATTTTTAGATATTTAGATTATTGCCAATCTTTCACTGTATTATAAATGCCACTTTGAATCTTGTAGCTAAATTTTTACATGCATCATTGATAATATACTTAAAATAAACTCCTATCAGTGCAATGACTGGGTCAAAGTGTATGCACAAATTTTAGAGTTTTGATATGTACTGATAAATTGCTCCCCAGAAATGTTATGCCCACCTGCCACCCCTCCAACCCCAGTAGTGTGGGAAAGTGCACAGCACTCCATACTCTTTGCAGTGTTGGGGAAGCATATGCAGTGAGAACATGAGGTTTGGAATCAGACAGCTTTACCATTGCTAACTCTGTGGCCTTAGGCAAATTACTTTAACTTGTCTGAGTCTGTATTTTCCCCATCTGGGTTGCTGTGAGGATCACATAAGACCATGTATGCAGAGTGTTAATCAAAGAGTCTTCTCCATAGTAAGTGCCCAATAAACAAAAGCTGTTCTAGATTTATAGTTGTTCCTTCCCATCTCTGATGTATTCTTACCTGGAAATGGACACATACTGATCACAGGCTTTTGGAATCTCTCTCTTTTAACAGTTTGCTTCTTTCTTTATTTTCTTAAATATTTCAATTTTTGGTTATATTTTGCTTGCTTGTTTGTTTTGTTGTTTAGGTTCCTGTTAAAGGTGAGATCATATGGTATTTGTCTTTCACTGCCTGGCTTATTTCACTACATAACTAAATACACTGAAACAGAGAATAGGCTGACAGTGACCAGAGAGGAGAGGAGAGAGAATTTCAGGGGAAAAGGGGAAGGATTTACAGGAACAAGTATGAAGGACACATGGACAAAAACTAAGGGGGATGGAAATGGAAGGGAGGTGGGGAGCACTGGGGGGTGGGCTGGGACTGTACTTGAACAACAATTAAATAAATTAAAAAATAAAAATCTCAGTTTTTTTATGTTTTACAATTGTCCCAATTTTCCCCCTTTGACCCCCTCCATTCAGCCTGCATCCCACTTCCACTGTCAATTCCTATACCATTATCCATGTCCATGGTGCCCTCATACCTGTTCCTGGACTAATCCTTTCATGAAATATCTTTTAGAGGAAGTATCTACTTGATCCTCCACATCAGCCCTGAAGTGCTGCTGCTATGGGCTTTTCTGCTCACTTTTCCCCCTCCCTTCTTGGCACTGGGTGGCTGAGGGCAGAGAAGACCCTCCTCATACATTACCATTTTGCCTTTTCCTGGGTTAATTACATGGAGTGTTGCAGACTAGGAAAGAAACCTATGCATGTGAGCTCAAACTGAGTTTATAAACCGAAACAATGATTAATAAAAATAACAACAAAAGCTATTACTTACTGAGTGCCTATTATGTACCAGATACTGTGCCAAGTCTTTTACATAGATTACTTCATTTAATTTCAGAACAGTCCTGTGAGGCTCAGAAGTGGTAGGTGGTGTGTTCAGTGTCATACAGCCAGGAAGAAGCAGAGCTGGGATTAGACTCCCGCCCAGTCCGACATCAAAATCTGTGCTCTTAACCACACTTCACATGCTGCTCTCCTCAGTGTAGATCTAGTGAGGAAGTATGGTGTGTATGCATGTGTTTCAGAGTGGGTACATGTTTGTGTGTACATGTGCATGTGTATGCATAAGCACACACATGCATATGTGAGTACATGCATACATGTGTGCATTCATTATAATAATATTTAGTCAGGGCCTACTATGGGCCAGGCACTGTGCAAGTTCCTGAAGATATGGTGGTGAACACAAGAAAAATGATTTTAATCCTCTCAAAATTTTTTGGCTAGTGAGGAAGGCCAATAATGAATGAATGAGTGAGTGAATGAATAAATGCAGAAATTACAGATTAGGACTATTGCTGTGAAGAAAATAAACAGAGCAAAATCACACATAACAGCAGGATAACAAACTTTAGAATGCCGGTTCAGGGAGATCCTTTCTGAGGAAGTAACATTTAAGTCTGTGTATAGAAACTAGTTTGGAATAGGGGAGCAGGGCTACCATGCAAGAATAGAGACCTCTTGGGTGGAAAAAAGTCTTTAGCACCTAGAGATGCTTCCTAGATTGTTCTGAGGCTCTCAAAAATGTATATGGGCAGGTGTGGGGGGTGTCTCTGGGTTTTCTTAGGATGTAGGGGCATAGCTTGCCAGTTTTACCCTAAAGGGAGAGAGTAGAAAATGGGTGCTAGCACTCTCTGAACAGGATCTAGTCTTAAGACCAGAGACCTCAGGAATTCTACAGGCATAGATGGGACTAAGAGGCAGGGTCTTTGTGTTCAGAGTTGGAGTATATGGAATGGAATCTTGTATTCCTGTTGAAAGAAAAATTCAGCCTACTCCAAGTATCCCAGATCTAAAGTGTTCCTTACCTGTTCTATATTCATTCATGTAGTTTGAGGTTTCAGAAGGCAGCAGAGTCTTTCCTGGGGCTTCCTGTCTCATCTCCAGAGGTAACTAAGAGGGGAGACTTGGATAAGAAAGTGTCACCAGGGCCACTTCTAGTAGCAGCAGCAACCTTGAACCAGTCCAGGCTGTGGTTTAGGATACCTTCATTAGTTTACAGAGTGGATGGGTATGGTTGCTGGAACAGTTGGCCCAAGAATCCTGAGAAAGACTGGCCCACCACAATTCAGGATCTCTACTCCATGGGACACCAGCACTGAAGCCTGGTATGTAAAGATGGCTTTTACCAGGCCACTCAAGGCCCACTTTTGAGTTGCTGTGAACTTGGGAATGGGACAGTGTGTGCCTCCCCTCAGGCTCCCATCCAAACTGCTCTGGTGCACTCAGTGACCAAATGGGACCATGGTCAGTGGCACACCACACACTCTCCTTAACATTTCTGGAAGGGAAGGAGTTCAAAGAAATACTGAAAACACATAGGGACCCTGCATTCAGTGCCTAGGTCATAAGTACAAGATCAGTAAGGCCAGTTCAGATGGAAACTGCCCAGCTGTTGAAGCAACACATTGTTTCTAATTTGTGCTGAGGACATGCAGTACCCTCACTGAATATGAAACACAGACAATGGTTATACTTAGTCAGCTTAATCACCCTATTTGTGCCATACAGTGTCCTGAATTGCTACTGGTCAGCAGATATCAGTTTTCAAAAATAGCATTTATCCCCAGGAACAAATCTTAATATATATTTCCTTGCCCTTGATTTCATTAAAAGAGACCAACCATCACCTGTTGCTCATTGTAAACAATGTGAAATGTTGGGCAGAATGTCTGTGCTACGTAAGTTAGGGCTTTTTATGCTCTCTGGATATTATGATGACTGCATGACATTTAAAAAACCTTTTCTATATTTTTCTTTTTAAAAGATTTTATTAATTTTGCTTTTAGAGAGAGGAGGGGAGGGAGAAAGAGAGGGAGAGAAACATCAATATGCAAGAGATACATCAATTGCTTGCCTCTTCCATGCACCTATCTGGGGACCTGGCCCACAACCCAGGCATGTGCCCTGACTGGGAATCAAACCAGCAACCCATTGGTTCCTTTCAGTTTTCAGGCCAGCACTCAATCCACTGAGCCACACCAGCCAGGGCTACACTTTTGAAATAAAAAAAAATATATAGTATGTATTAACCAGAAAAAATTAAGTTACTTCCATTTGGATAATAATAAACATCTAACACATGTTCTAAATCTTTCCTTCTTAGATGGATATCTCCAAATTGGAGATGATTTGGACACATCTCCAAATGAGTGGTGCTTCTCTTCTGAATGGACAAAGCCACAGCCAGAAGTATCTTTTGCAAATGATGCTGCCAACTGCAGCATGAATGGGTTTCAGCCCATGGCTATGACTCAATACCCTCAGCCCCAGACTGGCAGTCCCTCTGTTGAGCCGGGCCAGCTGTTTCATTTCTCTTCCCCGGCCAGCACCAGCTCCCCAGAGCCTGAATACCCTTGTGTGTTCTCCCCTGGGCACCCAGTTTCACAGGCACAGCCTGATGGGGAATATGAGTCACTCTTAAATTTTCCCCATCAGGAGAGATGTGTAGCCCTTCCTCAGCAATCTTCCATGTGGGAGAATTGCAGCTCTGGCCAGGCAACCAGAAGCACAGGATCTCCCTTCAACCAGCCTTTCAACTCAGCCCACTGTAAGTAAATCCCTCCAGATACTTGGAGGCTTGCCTCTGATTCGTTAGGGTTGAGAGTAAGTTGGCATGAGGTTGGGTATCAAGACTAATTGCTGCCAGTCTGGACATGAGGCTTCTGAGGGACAGAATGTTCTGCTTAAATGTTCTCTATATCTTCACTAGGCTTCACTGACATTGACAGTGTAATGAATCAAGGGTTACATAGAGAGCCAGCCAGATGAACCTGGCTGAGAATATTTACCCAGTCTGTTGATTTGGATTTATCCTAGAAAAATGATGGGCTGCTGCCTAAAATTGTGGGGTTTGCATTCACCTCACTGCAAACCACCAAATAATCCATTTGTAAAACCAAACTATGGAATACCTACAAGCTCAAACTCTTACCTCCAAACAGGTTGACAACTTGTTGTGATGCCAAGCTCCTGGGCAAAAACAAGGGCAATCTATACTAGCCATCTGCTGCACACATTAAAACTCAAAGAAACTGCAGAGGCAGCCCCATTGCTGCCTGGAGACTGTCACAGTGCCTGGCTGTATGTGACTCACGCTTGTACACTGGGCTCCTCTTGCTCAGTTTCTCTTGGGTTCCTGTTCCCTGATCATTACACCTCCCACTGAACTAAAATGCTTCTTCATTTACTCACTCAGCAACTATTTAATTAGTACCTACTACATGCAAAATACCCATAAAAAAAACAGGACTCCCTTCTTTGTAAAAGGATAGGGGAAGATTTGGCCTGAGGTATACTTTCACAAAAACAAACAAACAAACAAACAACCCAACCCCCCCAAAAAAACAAAACAAAACCCCAACACATTCTACTACAAGATTTGCCTTTTACATGAAGTACTGGGAATTATATATATTTTATAGTTTCATCAGGCAAAGTCTGAATCCTTTGCATTCCACACTCTAAGAATTTTCTTTTATACCTCCCTAGTCAATACTTATCTGGGGTTCTAGTGTCCTATTTCTGAGAGAAATTGGTAGAAGCTACCTTTACTCTGATGTATATTGTACACAAAAAGTTTATTCAGCATAGCCTCCATAAGTCAAGCACCGTGTTCTATCCTAATGTTGAAAAAAATTTCCATTAAAATACCAGTCCATCATTTCCATAGTTTGATTAGTAATGTACTTAAAAAGAGTAAATTATTAAAATGTCATGCTTAGCAAACTTATGAAAATTTCTACAATGTACTCTTTGTCAAACATCTGTTCCTACTATATTTAGAGGAAAAATTTGACCAACTGTGTTTTTGTATATGCCTGTGCATATACACAGCAGAGCTCTGTTTGAACAGTTGGTTAGAATGCAGATGGCACAAATTATTGCCTCACAAACATAACTCTATACAGTTTAAATCCAATTCATCAAATACTTAATGTGCATCTACTATATGCAAGGCACATCATGGTAAAACTATAATGCAGGCATTATTCTAGTCCCCTAGCCTCTAGACACATTTTTATTTTTAAGTACATTTTTAAATGTGTATCACTAAAATCTTGACTGTCACAAACTCTTCACTCTTTTCTACTAATGTTGACACTAGTTGAATTATTTAGTGACTGATGGCTCCTGATCTGTTGAAGAAGTTAGCAACCCTGAATCATAAACATTGCCTAGAAGAAAATTAGAACAAGGTCCAGGGGGCCTTAAAAACAGAAAGTTCTGTGTTTTTGCAGCATCTATGAAAAAATATGCTAGGTGCCCCCTAGCATATTTAAACTGAGGGGCAGGTGATTTGGGAGACCTGGAGTAAAACTGGGCACTTTCTATCCCCATCCTAGATATTTCGTTTTCAATCATGTTTTTCTTTTCTAGGTAAGAACTATTTCCCCCCAGCTCATGGACCTGCAAATGTCAGCCTTGCCAGCAACAGCCTTGCACACAAAAGTAAGTATATATTCTGCTTTTGATAGCGTGTCTCTACATCTTGAGAACAAACTGGAGAAGCTTATAACATAAATACCAGGATCTCTAACAACCGAAAAGACCCTCATTTCTATTATTTAGTATTTTCATAGTTTGAATTTGTTTCATCTGAGTCTCAAAGAGCCCATGCACTTGGTAACTTGTAAAATCCTTGAGTGTTTTTTAATTTTGACATAAAATCAACTTCACTGAGTTTTTTAAAAATCCGAGCTGTATTTAACTGAGGTGATTCAGAAAAATGAACAAGTTTCAAACAGGTGAAAAGACTTGCCTTAAGATCACAGCAAGCAGCAGAGGTATAATCTCTCTGTTCTCACAGTATCATAATACCAAAATCATAAATTACAAGAAGCATAAACATAAAAAATAATTCCAACGTAAATCAAGTATACAACAGTGAAAAGTACAACTGGTAAGATTATTTTACTGTGTGTGGGTTCACTGTATATCTGTGGCCAGCATACTATCCTAAAATAGGGAGGGGTGCAGAAGGCTTGGAAAGCATGCAAAGGAGCAATATTACCTTGGGAAAGGGGTAGGGAATGAGCTTTCCATGTGGAGAGTAATTGAGGGGAGGTGGCCATCTTGCCACTGTGGTTCTGGGCAGAGGGGGGCAGCAGAGTGAGGTGACTGGAAAGAAGGTAACTTCTTGGGGCTTTAAATAAAAAGACCAGGAAAACCCAGCAAAGCCCATGCATGCTCTTAAGCCAATCTCCCAGTCTCACTGGAGGGTGAGGACCACAGGTGGAGATTGTGAAATGCACAGACTCCTAGACCTCACTTTCTGTTTTGGTAGATTTGGCAAAGGACTCAGCTGCCTCTGTATGTTTGATTCTTTACATATTTTATATTAACCTAATTTCAAAGTGAACTGGATAAACCTTTTGGTAGAAATTTTGGTAGTTTTGAAAGATTTTCTATGTGAGGTCCCAGGTAAGTATTTGTCAAAAGAAGGAAGGCAGAAGCTCCTCCTATTCTTCCAATATGGCCTAGTCCCCTCATGTGGGCTGTCAGTTACCTATGATATAGTGACCATGTAGAGCAGGAAACCAATCAGCCAGAAGGATAGTTAGAGACACTTTCTTTTTTTTTTTCTTTTCTAAAGAGTTAGAGAAATATCAATGTGTGGTTGCCTCTCCCCACAGGAAACCTGGCCTGCAACCCAGGCATGTGCCCGAACTGGGAACCGAACCGCCGACCCCTTGGTTCACAGCCTGTGCTTAATCCACTGAGCAACACCAGCCAGGGTGAGAGAGATTTTCTTGAGGTGATTCCCAAAAACTTTGGTGCCAAAATTTTTAGTAAATTTGATTTTTTTCATTTGTACAACTAGAAACTGAATGTATATTGCTTCAATGCCTATAAATAATAAGAATATTGGTATTTGCCAGAGTATGTGTATACGTGTGTGTGTATATATATATATATATATATATATATTCGTATATAATATATTTTATTCATAATAACATATATGAATAAAATTGTCCTGGTCCCTCCCTTTATAGAGTTAATAATATAATGGGGGAGGCAAAACCCCCTCTCCCCAAGAAAAAGGGCAAAAGCAAAATTTTTACATGTTATGATTAAGTGCTATGAAGGAAACATACAAGGTGTTGCAATAGGGAAAGATGGGTGCCAACTTTGAATAAGGTGGTCAAAGGAGGCTTCTTGGAGGAAATGACATGTAAGCAGGGGCCCCCCCAAAATGAGGGAGACAGTTTTAGGGAGAGTTAGGGTAGAGCTAGAGGGAGATGAAGAAAGCTTCCCCATGCAAAGGCCCAGAAATGTGTGAGGAATGGGAGGAAGATCACTATGGCCAGAGAGTAGTGCAAAAGGGAAAGTGGCACAGGGCTATGCTGGAGAGGTAGACATGGGTCAGGTGACAGAATCTTTTGGATAATGTTGGGAATTTGAATTTCATATTCTAAGGGACTTGGTGAACCCTTGGAGGCCCTTATTAAGTTCACTGTGGATTTAATAAGGTCACGTAAACTGTGTAAACAGATAGGAGAAAGACAAGAATGAAAACAAAGAGATCAGTTCAGAGGCAAGAAGCATGAAAATATATAGCCTGGACTAGGTAGCATCAGTGGAGAAAGAAGTATATGTATTTGAGATCTATTTGGGAGGTTTAGCTCTTAGGATTTGCCTAACACTCTAGATTGGTTTCAGGTCTTTTACCTCCTTGGCTAGGTTTATTCCTAAGTACTTTATTTTTCTTGTTGCTATACCAAATGGGAATTTTTTCCCCCTGATTTCTGTCCCTGATATTTCATTGTTGGGTTACAAAAATGCCTTTAATTTCTGAATATTGACTTTGTATCCTCCTGTTGTGCCAAATTCATTTATTAGGTTGAACAGTTTTTGGTGGAGTCCATAGGGTTTTCTATGTACACTATCATAGCATCTGCAAACAATGACAGTTTTCCTTCCACCTTTCCAGTTTGAATGCCTTTTATTTCTTTTTTTTTCTGATTGCTGTGGCTAGGACTTCCAATACTATGTTGAATAGAAGTGGTGAAAGCAGACATCCTTGTCTTGTTCCTGATCTTAGTGGGAAAGCTTTTAGTTTTTGCTCATTGAGTATGATGTTGGCTGTAGGTCTCTCATATATGGCCTTTATTATGTTGAGGAATGCTCCCTCTATTCCCACTTTGCTGAGTGTTTGTATTACAAATAGGTGCTGTACCTTATCAAATGCTTTTTTCATATCTATTGATATAATCATGTGATTTTTGTCTTCCATTTGTTTATGTGACGTATTACATCACATTGATTTGTGAATATTGTACCATCCTTGCATCTCTGGGATGAATCCCAGTTGGTCACGGTGTCTGATCCTTTTAATGTATTGAAGAATGCAGTTTGCCAATATTTTGTTGTGTATTGTAGCATCTATGTTCATCTGTGATATTGGCCTGCAGTTTTCTTTTTTTCTTATGTGTTTGTTTGGTTTTGAGATTAGGATGATGCTGGCATCATAACAAGAGTTCAGGAGTCTTCCCTCCTCTTGGATTTTTTGGAGTAGTTTGAGAAGAATAGGAGTTAGCTCTTCCTTAAATGCTTTGTAAAATTCTCCTGTGAAAGTGTCCAGTCCAGGGCTTTTGTGTGTCAAGAGATTTGTTTTTGGATTACTGCTTCGATTTCATCAGCTGTTATCAGTCTGTTCAGGCTTTGTGCTTCTTCTTGATTCAGTTTTGGAAAATTACTTGTTTCTCAAAGTGTGTCCACTTCACCCACATTGTCAAATTTGTTGGCATATAGTTGTTCATAGTAATTTCTTACTATCCTTTGTATTTCTGTGGTATCAGTTATAATTTCTCTCCTTTCATTTCTGATGATATTTATTTGGGTCCTCACCCTTTTTTTTCTTGACGAGTCTGATTAAAGGCTTGTCAATTTTGTTTATGTTTTCAAAGAACCAGCTCCTGGATTATTGATCCTTCGAAATGTTCTTTTTTTTTTAAGGTTTTTCTTTTATTTTTTTAAGATTTTATTTATTTATCTTTAGAGGGGAAGGGAAGGAGAGAGGGAGAGAAACATCAATGTATGGTTGCCTTTTGTGTGTCCCCTGCTGGGAACTGGCCTGCAGGGAACCGGCCTGCAACCCAGGCATGTACCCTGACTGGGAATCGAACCACGATTTTCTGGTTCGCAGGCCAGTGCTCAATCCACTGAGCTACACCAGCCAGGGCTTAGTCTCCATGTCTTTTAATTCTGCTCTGATCTTGATTATTTCCTTCCTTCTACTCACTACAGTTTTTGTTTATTGGTGCTCCTCCAGTTCTTGTAGATGTAGGGTTAGGTTGTTTATTTGAAAATTTTCTATCTTTTCTAAGTAGGCCTGTATCACAGTGAACTTCCCTCTCAGGAATGCTTTTGCTGTGTCCCATAGCTTTTGGGCTGTTGTATGTTCATTTTCATTTGTTTCCAGCAACTTTTTTTTTTTTTTTTATTTTTTTAATAATTTTATTTTATTTTTTTTTAAATATTTTATTATTTATTTATCTTTAGAGGGGAAGGAGGGGAAGGAGAGAGGGAGAGAAACATCAATGTAGGGTTGCCTTTTGTGCGTTCCCTGCTGGGAACTGGCCTGCAGGGAACCGGCCTGCAACCCAGGCATGTGCCCTGACTGGGAATCGAACCGCGATCGTGTGGTTCGCAGGCCCGCGCTCAATCCACTGAGCTACACCAGCCAGGGCCTGTTTCCAGCAACTTTTTGATTTCTTCCTTGATATTATTGTTATTCCATTCATTGTTTAATAATGCATTATTCAAAGTGCATGAATTTGAGTGTTTTTTTCCCCTTGAGGTTCGTTTCTAGTTTCAAACCCTTATAGTCTGAGAAAATGCTTGATATGATTTCAATTTTCTTGAATTTGTCAAGGCTTGTGTTGTGTCCTGTCATATGGTTTATCTTAGAAAATGTTCCATGTACACTTAAAAAAATATGCATTTTTTTCTTTTGTGCGAAAGCCTCTCTCTATATATATCAATTAAGTCCATTTGATCTAGTGCGTCATTCAGTGCCACAACATCCTTGTTGATATTTTGTTTGGAAGATCTGTCCATTTTTGACAGTGGGGTGTTAAAATCCCCAACTATAATTGTGTTGCTGTCAATGCATTTCTTGAAGTCCTCTAAGATTTTCTTTATATATTTGGGTGCTCCTATGTTGGGTGCATATATGTTTACAATGTTTATATCTTCTTGATAGACTCTTCCCTTGAGTGTTATGAAATGTCCTTCTGTGTCTCTTTTTATGGCCTTTGTTTTGAAATCTATTTTGTCTTCTGCAAGTATTACTACCCTGCCTTTTTTTCCTGTCCATTTTCTTGGAACATATTTTTTCCAATCCTTCACTTTGTCTGTATAGATCTTTTTTACTGAGGTGGGTCTCTTGTAGGAAGATTTTTAGCTGCTCTTTTTTTTTAAAAGATCTTATTTATTTATTTTTTAGGCAGAGGAGAAGGGAGGGAGAGAGAGAGGGAGAGAAACATTAGTGTGTTTGCTTCTCATGCCCCTCCTACTGGGGACCTGGCCCACAGCCCAGGCATGTGCCCTAGACTGGGAATCAAACTGGCAAGCCTTTGGTTCATAGGCTGGCACTCAATCCACTAAGCAATACCAGGCAGAGCTTTAGCTGCTCTTTTATTTATTTTTTCCTGCCGGGCATGCTTTTGTTTATTAGTTTAGTTTTACATGGTTTTGTTTGGAAGGAAGGGTTGTTCCCCACCCCCAAACCCCACCCCAAGCCTTTGTCATTTTACTCACCTCTCCCAAACTGGCCCTGTCCATCCCCTCTCTAGAGGGATCCACGTCCGGAGGCTGGAGGCCAAAGGCTGCCCAGGCATGTAGCCACTTCAGAGGTGGAACCGTGCCCTCTAGCCATGGCCCTGACGGCGAAAAATTTACGCTCTGAGACTGCACGATTCCTGAAACGGTAAGGGGCATAATCTGGACTTTGTCCTTTAATATGAGTAGGAAAAGGGTACTTAGGGTTACTATCATCCCTACCTACCCTCTCTTCTTCTCTTCTCCCCACAGCGCCCCTCCTCCGCCCCCATTCCACAGCCTAATTTACTAACAGAGTCGTGTGGAATAGGTGAGGGGGTAAAGCCACTGATTGCAATTACTGTAACCTGCTAACTCAAAAGGGCGTATTTACATGTGATTTGCATGTACTTATGGAAGTACACAATAAGTGCATTCCTTCTCTAACAAGGTACCCATGCCCACCTGCCACACTCTCTGCTGTACTGAAGCCCCCACCACCTTATCTACCGAAATTTACTTCCCTTCCGGCTCCTAAACCTGGCAAATTCGACCTCTTACCTATGCCTCCCAAAGATTCTGCTCTTTTAAAATGCAAATTGGCTAAGCCTTTACATTTTTGCTGAAAGGTACCTATCAATGATGTTAACATAATCCAATTAAATAAATAATTTTGGAGGGAGGGCTTTTTAAAAGGCAAATATTAGAACCAATTTGTATGGTAGTGGGAAAGCTCCAACAAAGATGAAGAGTTTGGCTCTGACTGCTGTGGTTCAGTGGGCTGGGCATCATTCAGCAAAGTGAAAGGTTGTTAGTTCAATTTCTGGCCAGGGCACATGCCTGGGTTTCTGGCCTGGTGCCCTGATGGGGCATGTGTGAGAGGTGGCTGATCAATGTTTCTCTCTCACATCAATGCTTTTCTCCCTCTCTTCCCCTCTCTAAAATAAATAAAATCTTAAAAATGTGAAGGGGGGTGAGGATAACTTCATGGGTGAAGTCATTGAGAACATGGAAGGGACATATGAAAGTGCTGACATTTGCTAGGAAGAGTGGGCATTCTACTGTTGCAAGCATCCAAAAGAAAAACAAGGACACAAGTGAAAATAGATTTGTTTGTGGGGAGTCTACAGAGTACTAATCAAATGATTTCTATTTTCTCAGTGGACTATGGGACAATATCATCAGCTGAGAGGGGGAATGTTTGCTATTGAAGAAGGTGGAAAAGTATGAAAAAGTCCTCTTGAGCCTTGGGAATGCAAGCCTGATCATAGACAAATATGAGCAGGATTTCTTAGTGCTGATCTCAAGTCTTAGATCATGAGTTTCAAGTGGAAAATGTCAGCTGTGTTGTGTGGTTTTCATCAGTGGTGCTAGGTTAGTGTAATACACAGAGAAGGCCAATGGTAAGGCTTAGACAGGATTGATGTTTTGGCAAGTGAGCATGATGAATGAGGAAAAAGGAAAGGAGCTGAGAGTATTTGCAAGTGAGTTATTCTCACAAGGGACCATGGTATCTAAGCTACAACAAGAAAGAAAGAGACAGATGGAGAGTGGTGTCATGGAGGATGATGGAATGAATGGAGGATTAGATTATGTTAAAGTGCAGAAATAAGACTACTTAAGTCAATGACATAGGAGGTGGTGGTTGAACAGTAGATGTTTGACATTGAGATGACAAGAGTGTCACCTGGGTAGGTGATTTCAAAGTCTAGCATGTGACTATGGGAATGTTTGGCTGAGGTAGAGTGAAGTAAAAGGTCATTAGAGATGAGTATAACAAGAATTACAGAAGTGAAGCAAAGTAAGAACCAATACCTACTTACAATGGAGGTACTATTTATATTCTGTTCACAGATGAGAAAATAAGGCAGGTGTCTTTAGTATTCCCATGTAATATATGGAAAAAGTGGGATTCAAATAAGCTAGGTAACTTGCCCAAGGTCACGCAGCTAGGCAATGGTGACGTTAGGTTTCACAGCTGGGCTCCTTGACTCCAAAAGCCAGCTTCTTCTTCATCATGCTTATCTTTTTCTTTCTTCAGAAAGCCAGTCTTCAGAAAGAAGAAAAGACCTGTTCTTTTATTGAACTTCAGTTTGAAGAAGAAAACTTCTACTCATGATTTTCTGCTGTGAATCTAGAGAATCTGAAGACATGACCATCCTTTTTTTTTTTTCACCACTAAAGAGTACCAAGTCTGGAGCAAGTTTCTGTCCTCCCTAACATTGAATACTTCTCTTTGTTGGCATCTATGCCCTCTGGAAGGGGTTTTCAAACTTGTTAAGTGGACCTCTAACATATAAAATCATTAGAAAAGCTGTTCAGGGATGGGGAGCATGGAGGCCCAGCTGCTTGCTCATCCCACCCTGCCCCTACACCCACTGCTCTCCTACTTAGAAATCATAGTCCCCTTACTCTCCACAAACAGGGTCTTTCAAATGAAGAATGACTGTGAGGGATCCTCTGAGGTTGTCCCACTTTTCCAATTGAATAGAGGTACCAGGACCAGCCTGAAGCTTTCCAACCTTAACCAGACTGTGACCAGCTTCACTCCTGCCTTTATCAAAATCAAAATGAAAATGGGGTGGGCAAGATCCATTGAGAATAGTTTGAGGCTGGACATTTTCTGTATCCTCAGAGTCTGAAAGGAAGCTGAAAAGGTCTCAGGCTGGTCCTGATAAATAAAATACTTTTTACTTGGAAAATTTGATTCTTCAATTCTAAAAAAGTGACTTCAACCGGAATTGCTGAGAAATTAAGGGACTAGCTTATTGGAAATTAGTAAGTTAGTTAGTTAGCAAACTGCCTCATTCCAAACTGGGCCTAGAGTAAGTTCTGTATCCAGAGCATTTCTTAGCTGCAGTTCCATGTGTTCCTGTCTGTTCTCATTCTGAGGATGGGGACTCTTACACCCCATTGGTGTTCATATGGATCTTAGGAGCACCTGGCAGCCTTCCACAGGGGCAACCTGTCTTCCATGAACAACATAACCTTTCCTTTAACTCTTTCATTGTTAGCAAAATCTTGGAAAATTAACTTTCTTTTCAGCACAAAACCATCAGGGCCAACCATGTAGATAACCCACTGTATCTTAGATGAACTACAGGTGGCAAAAGGCATGACTTGTCCAAGACATAGCAGCAGAACCTCCCTGCAGATTGTTTCAGATGAAAAGACAAATTTCTCCAAACTCATTCATTTCTCTAATGTAGTAGACAGCCTTGTGAGCTTGGTACTTACCACATGACAACCCTGGAAAGCCCCTGCTGTCAATATTCCCCCATTCAGGATCAAAAAATTGTGGTACATATACACAATGGAATTCTATGCAGCAGAGAGAAAGAAGGAGCTACTACCCTTTGCAACCACATGGATGGAACTGGAAAGCATTATGCTGAGTGAAATAGGCCAGGTGTTGAAAGACAAATACCATATGATCTCACCTTTAACAGGAAGCTAAACAACAAAACAAACAAGCAAACAGAATAAAAACAAAGACACTGAAATAGAGAACAAGGGGACAGTGACCAGAGGGGAGAGGGAAGGGAATTTAAGGGGGAAAAAGGGGAGGGATATGGAGGAACAAATAGGAAGGACACAGGGATGAGAACTAAGGGGGTGGAAATGGGAGGGAGGTGGGGAGCATGGGGTGGGGGGCCTGGGATGGGAGAAATAGACAGAAAACTGTACTTAAAAAATAACTAAATAAAATTATTTAAAAATATATATTCCCTCATTCACACCCTACTTGTTCTTGTGTAACAGCTGACAGAGTGAATAATAAAACTTCAGTTTTGTAGATTATGTTATACTTAATCCTACATTCTTTCACATTCATGAGCTTTTGAAAAGTTTCTAATAACCCTGGGATTGGCGTTATTATCGTCACATAATACATGTGGAGACTGAGACTCAGAGTTGGTAAATAGCCTCCCAAGATCACATAGCCAGGGGCAGTGCCAGTGCTGAAACCATGTCTCTGACCTCAGAGCTCTTTTCTCTACCGTAATACTTATCAACATCAGGGTGACTCTTAGATATTTTTTTCTCCCATCTGCTATACAAATAAAGACCACAGCTCCTGTGTGAGTGAACAGACGACTTTGGTAGTAATGCAGTATTTCTTTGATGTCAAAAACAGTTTTTCCAGTGTGTTATATGTTTCCTAGATTAGTAAAAAAATTTTACCTAGTATATTTTCTCTCAAAGTTATTTACCTTCAAATGTCGTGGTCTATTTGAGAAAATTCAAGGTGGAGGCTGATTCTAGCACTTATGACACATAATTTATACAAGTGTGTGCTTATCTTGAGCTAACATGTACCTTTAGAGTTGAGCTCTTAATATGATACTTAGGGGAAAGAAGTCATTCTGAGAGAGCCAGCATCTTATGTAGAATGGGTAAAATGATAACATATCCCTGAAAATCCCTCAGTTTAGATGTTCTTGAATAAAGCTGGAAGCAGTAATTAATTATTTCCTTTTGATAAGCAGGGAAGAAAGGGCCTCTGGTTTCTGAAAAACCCCACTCTGACACATAGGTAAATTCCTGCCCAGATCAACCCCTACTTAAAATATCAGACTTAGATTTCTGGTTTTCTACATCTATCCTTTCTTCCCTTCCCCACCTTACATCCAACAGGCTAACTTGTAAAACATTTCTTTGACTCACTTTGGCATTTTACTCTTGCATTTAAAAGTGCACACAAGATGTGTGCCACACTTCACACACAAAGGTAGTGTCATTGGCCCCTGTGTGTTTGCTTGACTTCATCTATACACCTAGTAATAATCTTATGAGATTCTAGTTGAAGGGGCATGTGGAATTAGCAGATTGATCAAGGTTTGAAACAGGAAAGTTGCCCAATGAAGCTAGAGACCATAAACCTCATTTACATTTTTCTCCACAGTTTTGAGAAATTGGACAGTGGCTTGATAGACTCTGGCTTACCAGCTGCTGCCCACCCCCAACACCCCGCCTACTACCCCCACCCCTACCAACACATACCCATTCCTGAACTTTACCATATGGGAGAATGAGAATTGCTTTACATGGGCTGTAAACTCACATGAAGAATTCCTGTCCTGAAAAAGCAGAAAAACAAAAAACAAACAAACAAACAAAAAAAGTGACAATTTCCTTTTACTGGTAGCAAAGACTATCTTTTTAGAATTCCAAATAATTGTTTGCACATCCAATTGAGACCTATGTTTATGCATTTCCATTCTAAAAATCAGTATCATGTGTAACACTGAAAATAAAATCACCCCTTCACAAAAAAATGCTAACTAGAATATGAGTTACCTTACTGCCATATAAACAATAGCCTCTGCCCTTTTCATAATTGTTCCCCTGGCTTGACATAATTACTTGAAAATAATCTTGTAAATCATTTGTTTTTTCAAAATGTGAAGTAATAATGCAATGGTCCATTTCAATTCCTTTAATGCATGAGATTTTAAGATAATATGTCGGACTTCCGCCAAGATGGAGGCATAGGTGGATGTGCCGTGCCTTCTCACACAACCAAGATTAGAGAAAACTAAATATTAGCAACAGAAAACACAGCCAGAACACGGAAAATTGAACTTTTCGGAAGTCCGTTAACAACAAATTCTTCAGCCTGACCGGTAAGGGGCGAAACCAGCGGCTGGCGGAGCAGGGTTGCACAGGAGGGCTCTGCCAGACACACCCAGGCCGGCGGAATCCAGGCCCAGGGTCAGACCTAGTGAGCGACCCAGCGAGCAACCAGGCGAGCGACCGCGGGGGAGACAGCCGGGCCGGGGCTGCGTGTTGACTGAGGTCGCGCATTTGTGCGAGGGTGGACAGGCGAGGGAGTGGGCTGTTGGACCAGGCCGGCAGGTCCCCACGGCAAGCGACAGTGGAGGGCGCCGCCATTTCCCTGCTCTGACCCCACCTCCACATACAGCGTCATAACCCAGTGACTCTGAGCTGCCCGGCCCAGGTGAACCACCTAAGGCACTGCTCCTCCGCACCCAGCTGTGAGAAATGGCAGAGGGGGTCGCCATTTCCCTGCTCTGGCCATGCCCCCACATTAGCGTCACAACCCAGCGACCTGGGAATCCAAGGCGCCGCTTCTTAAAGGGCCCGAACAGACCAAGAATGGCGCAGGAGGATCTCAGAGCCCCAGAGCCAATAAATCTAAGCGATGAAGAAATAGCAAAACTCACAGACCCACAGTTTAAAACACTGGTGATCAGGATCCTCAGAGAACCGGTTGATTATACCGACAAATTAGACAAATATATGAAGGCGAAACTAATTGAAATGAATGGAATTGCACAGGACACCAATAGCAATGAAAAGGAAACTGGGACTCAAATCAATGGAGTGGACCAGAAGAAAGCAAATAATGGCCAAACAGAAAAGAGTGAAGAAGCAAGAATTCAAAGAAATGAGGAGAGTCTTAGGAACCTCCAGGACATTTTTAAACGCTCCAACATCCGAATTATAGGGGGTACCAGAAGGGGGAAAGGCACAGCCACCAGTGGAAAACTTATTTGAACAAATAATAAAGGAGAATTTCCCCAATCTGGCAAAGGAAATAGACTTCCAGGAAATCCAGGAAGCTCAGAGAGTCCCAAAGAAGTTGGACCCAAGAAGGAACACACCAAGGCACATCATCATTACATTAGCCAAGATTAAAATGAAGGAGAGAATCCTAGAAGCAGCAAGAGCCAAGGGGACAGTCACCTACAAAGGAGTCCCCATCAGACTGTCAGTGGATTTCTCAAAAGAGACCTTACAGGCAAGAAGGGGCTGGAAAGAGGTATTCCAAGTCATGAAATCTAAAGACCTACAACCAAGATTGCTCTATCCAGCAAAACTTTCATTTAAAATGGAAGGACAGATAAGGTGCTTCTCAGATAAGATCAAATTCAAGGAGTTCATCATCACCAAGCCCTTATTATATGAAATGTTAAAGGGACTTATCTAAGAAAAAGAAGTTAAAGAAACATGAACAGTGAAAGGACAACAAACTCACAGTTATTAACAACCACACCTAAAACGAAAGCAAACTAAAAGGACAGCTAGATCAGGAGTGGAAACATAGAAATGAAGATCTCAAGGAGGGTTAGCAA